AAAAAAAAAACCTCTCTCAAAAAAGAAAAAAAAGAAAAAAAAAAAAGAAAACTATAAAAGAAAAGCAATGCCATGGGACCAGCAGTTAGCATAATGGCTATGTCTCTGAACTCCCATGTAGTCGACTGTGTTTCAAGTCCCGGACCCAGTGGCTTGAATTTAGGCCGGGCACATGTGCGTGCTTGCCCAAGATTAAAAGAGGAGAATGGAGGAGAATGGATTGCAGCGGCATGGCCATCCCCTCTGGAGGGCGATTTCTCTCTTTCTGTCTCTCTGTCTCTATCTCTCTGGCGAGCTCAAGCACCCTGTAGTAAAAGAAAAACTCTCTCAAAAAAAAAAAAGAAAGAAAAAGAAAAGCAATGCCATGACTTATCTGACAACCCCATAGTAAGACTACTTACGACATTCAAAAGCTCTAAAAATTACACTTCAATAATTTAGCATCTTTAATGCACAAGTACCATTCAGGGAATACAGTCATTTGATGATAGTAATTCCAATATTTATTCACCATGAGGATAACTCACCATATGATATTTTGTTGCAGAAATAAGTTATAGGCCTAATCTAATAAATAAATATATTTTGAATGTCCATTTAAATAAAATGTTTATGTTATTAATAAAAATCAATAATTCATGAAATGTATTTTTCCTGAAAGTGAGGACATTAAAAATTTTTTAAAACTTTTGTTGTTTACAGTTTAAACCCGTTAACTTTTTTTTTTAAATTTATTTAGATTTATTCATTTATTCATTTTTAATCTGACCGGAGTGGGATAGAGAAAGAGAGAGAGAAAATGAGAAAGCAGGCCACCAGGTCTAGGACTCTAACTGCAGTCGATCTTGTGGGAGTCAAGTGTCCTCAGCCACCATACCACCTGCCAACTGCACCTGTGAACTTTTTAAGTCTTAATGGCAATGATGCAAGACCTGAGTGATTCAAAAATCCAAAGGAAGTAGTAATTTAAACTTAGTACAGGGGTCCAGCAGATGGTGACGTGGATACGTTGCTGGACTCCCACGTGGTTGTCAGCAGTTCAAGTCACACCAGGCTCATGTCTGCGCATGCCCAAAATCCCAGGAAGTGAATGGCCACCTCCTTGGGAGGTGATTTCTTGCATTTTCTCTCTTTCTCTCTCTCCCCCCCCCATCTCTTACTCTCAGTGAGCTCACACTCCCTATAGCAAAAATCTCTCTCCCCCCAAAAAACAAAAAAACAAAATAACAAAAACAACCCTTAATTTGGGTCAGCAGGTTGGGTAGCGGTTGGTTTAGGTGCTACAGCCCACATGATAGCTTGAAAACTACAGTAGGCACATATGCATGCATGCCCAAACTCCTGAGAGGAGAATGGAGAATTGTGGAGTGGCCACCCTACCAAGAGTGATTTCTCTCTTTTTGTCTCTTTTCTACCTCTATTTCTCTCCAGAGAGTACTCATGCTGTATAGCAAAAATCTATAAAACAAACCAACTCCAAAAGTTAATATACTTTTCCCAAGGTTCTTCCCCGCCTTAGGTAATACTAATTGCTAAATACTAATTACTGATGTGGTTAAATAACCTCATTAAGACAAATCTATAGTGAATTACTAATATCCTCTTGCTATTTTCTACATTTCTAGTTATTGATCAGGCACTTGTTTGACTGACAATTGTTTTAATATAAAGATTTGAAAGGGAAAAATAAAACCTTCATTTATCCACTTTACTCCGTCAGAATGTAGCATGCAAAACAGAGTAACTACTACAGAAAAGAGAACTGTCAACTCACAATACACAGGGAGAGGTTCTCACTTATTGTTTCTTTAGATTAAAAGCCAAATAGAGTCTTTCCTATAATGATATACTGAGTGAGCTGACTATTACTAATGAGTCTCTTTAGAATGTCCTGAGTCTACAGGAGCAAGAAAACGTGCGTGGGGAGATCTCGTTGGTTTTACTACAACTTGGAAGAGATTTAAAACTGAGGTCCTTACCTTGTTCAAGCTGCGAGCAGCACTATCTTTTCCCCCTGGGGTCAAGTTGCGGAGCTGGACGTCCAAGAGGCCTACCAGCTGATCCATGGCTCGGACGGAGTAGGTGATGTCCCCAGCATTTAAATGGTTTCTCGTCTGTTCGGCCAGCTCTCTGGCAATATTGGCAGCGGTCTCTCCAGATTTCAACTATAATTTCAAAACAGATTATAGAGATTATAGAGGTGAGAGATCTTACATTAATACATGTATTGGTCCCTTTTGATCATTGTTTCCGCATGTGAGTGTGAACATTAAGGCAAGCGATTGTTCTTAAACTCCATCTACAGGGCCGGTCCCAAGTCTAGTGGTTAAGGGGGCTGGATCTTATACGGTCGACCTCGGTTCAAATCCTGGCCTCGGTTTCTTGAAAAGTAAGTTGGTGGTGTGTGTGTGCGTATATGTATACATGCATGTGTGCATGCCCCAAATATTGACAGGATAGAGAAATGGAGAAGAAATTGTGGCATGACCATTAAGCACTTGGGGATACTTTCTCCCTCTCTCTGTAAGCACATGGACCCTCTGGGAATTAAAAACAAAATAAGACAAAAACAAAATACAGACCTGTGGCCTGGAGGTTAAGGCAGGTAGATTCACATAGCTGACTGCTGAGTTTGAGCCCTGGACCTGGTGGCTTGAGAAGCAAACCAGCAATATGTGCATGAATGTCCAACATCCCCAAAGGAGGGCGAGACTATACCACATGGTGGGGTTTCGCCCATTCTTTCACTCTCTGTCCCTCTCTGACTCTCTTTTTCTCTCTCTCTGGTGAGTGCACATGCCCCCAGGCAAATCTTTTAAAAAGTCCATCTTTACCTGGAATCTGCTTCCCAATTCTTTGTGCTGATTCATCTTTTTCTTCAAAGTTTGACTTTAAATTCATGTTTTCAAGAAGCTCTTCCTGAGGACTCTTCTAAATACTATTCTCCCCTGAATTATCCTTACTAGTGTTTAAGTCTGAAGTTTATGCGAGTCTCTTCTCTGTGAATTTCTAAATCATTCCCTTGTTGAATGCAATCATATCCTAAGTTCTTAGGGGTAAAGCTAAATTTTCTTTTGTGCCTTGTTCACAATGAATCCTCACCAGGTGCTAAGCTCTGTGAAATTGTTAGCCCAAATAAAACCCTGCTTTCAAAGTTATTTTTACCTTTTTAATAACTTTATGATAGGAAGTTTTGCTACCAAAACACTGAGTAGCAAAGTATTGTTTTCTTTTCTCTGTTTTCTTATTCTCAAACTACATGCTGGTTTTTGAAGTGTATTCTAAAATAATACATCAAATTGTCAGCACTCCAAAGATGTTAAGAGATGACATCATGATTACTTGAGCAAAATGATAGCCCTGAGTTACAGAATATAGGAATATATTAATTTGCAAGAAAGGTGTGGGATACAAGGGGAAAAAAGGGTAAATAAGTATAATTTCCTAATTAATAATCTTCTTTATAATTTTTAATTTAATAAACTAAAACAGGGTCGTAACACATTTACTTAACATAGACAGTGGCACGCAATGTAAAAATAATAAAGTTCTCTTCTTTTGCTTCTATTTATTTCTATCTTTCAGTGATTATCAGTTTGTCACTGATTTGATATGTATCCCACCAAACTTTAACCTGTCCTATTAGTTTTTTAAACAGTAGTGTCATTATTTTTATTAAAGAATTATTTTATTTAACTTTATTTACTTATTTTAATTTGACCAGTGAGGGACAGAGCGAGAAAGAGAGAGAGGAAATGAGAAAGCAAGCTGCCAGGTCCAGGAGTTGAACTGTAATCAGCCATGTGGGAGTCCAGGGCCCTTAACCACCATGCCACCTGCCCCCCCAGTGTCAATACTTTTAAAATGTTCCTTTTTTTTTTTTTAAGGTGGTACAGTTTATGACATAGGATCACAAACAGAAATATTTCTCTTTGTAAACTGTCTTCCTAATGGGTATTAAGAAAGTGGTAAGTGCAACAAAAATTTTTTTAAAAATTTTCCAGAGGGTGTGTGCGTTTACCAGAGAGAAGTAAAGAGGGAGAGAGGGAGGGTGAGAAAGTGAGAGAGAGAAAGTGAGAAAGTATCTCTAATGGGAATACCACAATCCTTTCTCCTCAATTTCTCCCTCCTTTTGAGATTTTAGGCATCTATGCCCACATGCGTGGTTTGCTTCTCAAGCTGCTGAGTCTAAGACTCAAACAGCTCAGTTGGCCATGTGGGATCCAGCCACCTTAATCACCATGCCAAAGGCCTGGCCCATGACTAAAAGTCTGGAGTCATACTGGTTGTCACTGTTGACTCAGGAATACTTAATATTTGTAGGAGGGCTGAATGTTAAAAAAATAATAATAATAAATACATGTAAGTAATTAAAACACTTAGTTATAATCATATTCTCAAGTATATCGAAAAAGCCTAACTGAAAAAGTTTGGTAACATCAGGTTGTAAAAAGGGTTTTTCAAAATAAATATCACTCCTGTAAACCACCTCGGGGAGTGTACGTATGTAAAGCAAATTGCCAGTTTCTATTACACTCTAACATGGGAAGACTATATGTTCCCAAGATTTCTTTTCTTTTCTTTTCTTTTTTTTAAAGGGAGATTTTTGCTATAGGGCATGTGTGCTCATCATAGACAGAGAGAGAAAGAGAGAAAGTGAGAAATCATTCCCTAATTCCTTCTCCTCAATCCTCCTCCTGGGATTCTGGGCATGCACACATACGTGCCCAGCGTGAGTTTCAAGCTACCGGTTCTGGGACCGAAACTGCGGTCAGCCATGTGGGACTCTAGCACCGTTACCAATATGCCACCTGCTGGCTCCCCAAGATTTCTTTCATTACTATCGGCCATGAGACATAATCCCACAGATATGAAAAATACATAATATATATTTTTACAGGTTTATTTGTGTGTGTGTACTTAAACACAGAAAGCAAAGCCTGGTAAGTATGACTCGAAAGAAAAATCATCTCTGTAATGTTTACATTTTATAAGAGTATATTATATAATACAAGAACAACATGCTAAAGTATCATAGAGCTAATTGGTACTTTAAGCAATCCTTAAAAGAGAAAATATATGCACTGAATTTGAGGAATTTGTGAATTACGGCCAGGGTCTTCATATTTAAACTGCCCGTAAGAACAAAAGGAATACATTATAAAATTCAAAGATAAATATATGATGAATTTAATGTAGATCAAAGTAACATTCATGGTTCACAGGTAGGTCACAAAAGTATTTTTGAGTGGTCATAAAGTGATATAAATGTAATTATAATCAATGGATTTTAACCTTTTAAAAAAAGAATTATTTTATTTAACTGTATTTAGTTATTTTAATTTGACCAGAGAGGGACAGAATGAGACAGAGAGAGAAGAAAGGTGAGAAAGCAAGCTGTCCGGTCTGGAACTTGAACCATGTTCCGCCATGTGGGAGTCCAGTACCCTTATCCACCACGCCATCTGCTGGCCCTGCATATTAACTTTTACATATAACTTAGGACTCCTCACTGGTAATCTAATAGATAAATTAATAAAATTTAAGATTCAGTATTCATTAATTAGTAAAACATCAATATATTGTAAGTATTCATTTTCAGTATTCCATCAGTAAGTTTGAACACCTGATACAATTGGTTGTTAATTATAATATTCCAACTATGCACATAAATTCCAGAGAGCTAGGATCCTATAATTTTCCAAAGGGGCAGTTTGTTAATCAACATGCCATTTATAATGTCTTGCATTTATGGTAATTTTCTACCCATTCTATTCTTATAATAAGGAATACATTTGAAGAATTTGCTAATCACTGTGTTTTTGTACAATCATTTTGTTATCATCATTATTATATTATTTCCTTATGTTTCTTTGTTACCACATCATTGTTTTTCAGTCAGAAAAAGTCAGGGTAGAAGAACCTCTGTTTTTTTGGTTCACTTAAATATACCAAAGTAAAAAAAGTTTGAGATCCACTATACTAGGCAATGTGATTTCTTCCTTAATTCAGTATCTTTAAAACTAAGGATGTAAGTACTGACATTCATTCCATCCATCAGTGATCATTATAAAGAGCAAAATTATTTATCAGAGAAAAATAAAAATAGCACTGGTTTGCTCATACAGTAGTTTTGTTTCTTTCTTTTCCTTCGTAGTTATATAAGCATGGTCTTCAACTGCAATTATTATTATAATGGGGTAGCAAATGATAAGGTAGGAAAGGAGGCCTATGTAATTATCTTACATAAAAATTTAAACTGGACCAGATGGTAACACAATCATCTGCCAGGCTGACCAACAGGGGGAGGTTCTGTATTCGTGACCAGGGACCTCTCTGACCCCACCAGGCATGCGCATGCCCGTGATCTGGGGCTGGCTGTGTTTGGGAGTGAGTCATGGCACAAGCACCTTGCTGGAGATACATGTCTCTCTGGTTCTCTCTCTCACTCATGGAAGCAAAAGATAAAGAAGCTTAAAAAAAATTGAACTTCTCCTTTATGTACTGTAAGGAAAAGGTTGAAAATGTAGATGATGTGTTAGTCAAAATGTAACTGTTTTCTACATAAATAATGAGAGATTTAGAAGTCTATATATATATGTGTGTTCATAACAAACAGGGTAGTTTTGTGAAACAGTGGGTCAAATATAAAAATCACTAATGAATTATCTTTTTTAAAGAATTATTTTATTTTATTTTATTTTATTTAAATTTTAATTTGACCAGAGAGGGAGAGAGAGAGAGAGAGAGAGAGAGAGAGAAAGAGAGAGAGAGAAAGTGAGAGAGCAAGCTGCCAGGTCTGGGACTTGAACTACAGTCAACCATGTGGGAATCCAGCAACCTTAACCACCATGCCACCTGCCGGTCCCAACTAAACATGTGTGTAAGAAATACTGGGCCAGCAGGTGATGTGAACCCTCATTTGGCTGAATCTGTGTTTCGAGTTCCTGGATCTGGCAGCTTGGAAAACATGCCAGGTACATGTGTGTAAGCCCAGAATCTCAAGAGAATAAAGGAGAAGGGACTGTGGCAGGGCCATCCACCCTGGGGACAGAGTTCTCACTTTCCCCTCTCTGTCTCTCTCCAGTGAGCACACACATTTTATGACAAAATTCATAAATAAATTTAAAAATAAAATAAAAATAAAACAAAATATGGAGCCGTA